AAGCACAGAGACAATAGAGCAACCCCTCAAACAAAAGACTGGAGGAGAGAACATACAGCCACGTAGTAGAGCAACTCCTCAAAAAAAGAGTAAGAATAGAACAAGATTTATTAGCTAAGAACATACCATCATGTAGAGCTCCTCCAGGGACGGCGCCGCTTCCAAGAAGAACATTGTCCAGGTGAGATCATACCCTTCAGGAATTTTAACTAGATTGAGAATCCTTAGTTGCTGGAACACATGTGCCTGCCTTCTGGTCAAACTCTCTGGTTGAACCCAAATCTGCAACGATAAGCACGTGATAGGGTGAGTGGAGAACAAGTGAAGCCAGAACAAAGCAATCAACCCACAACTTACCTTTTCGCATTTAAACCCCAACGTCAGGTCTCGAACAGAGGTCTCATGAAGAAATGAACTCAACTTGACCATTTTGCAAGCAATAGTTGAAAGTCTCAGAACCCCAAGCAATGGGACATAGCCCAGCACCAGTGGTGGTTCTTCTGGAGATCCCAGCATCTCAAACGCCAGCCATGTGAGTTTCGGAACCCAAGTGAGTTCGACCATGTCAAAACAGCAATCGACAATACTGAGGTCACTGAGCTGTGCGTGTTCAACTTGGAGCGTTATCCAATCCTCTGTGTCACAATTGAAAAAACCTAAATAACTCAATTGCTTGCAAGTGACAAGGATGTTGGAGACAAAGTCAGATTCACGGAAACTCAAATTCTCCAGGTAGAGGCGTGTGAGACCAGCAAATGCATTGTGGCATTCATTAAATAATGACACAAACCGTGTCCCATAGTTCGCCAGATCATCAATACTGCACATCTGTCCATTCTTCTCTGTCAGAACTACGAGTTCAGCTTTCTCAACCCTGTGTGTCGCCATGGCATTGCCAACAGTATGCCCAATGGATATGGGGGCATCACCTGACAAGTAGAACATGGTGCTCAAGAGGCGGATGGTGCATCCACCTGGATCCCTGTGTGCCAGCATACTCTTTGTTGCTTTGACCACGGCTGCATTGGCTGCGTTAACTGCATTGATCCGAAGCAATGTTCCACCCAATTCATCATCAGGTATGCTAGTTTGTGAGGGCATGAAACTGAGAGCACTTATTTTAAGCCGTGAGAGGTTGGCAGGAAGCTGACTCCAACGTCTGGAGAGGACACTGGTTCTTGTAACGTCACGGAAATCGAGACGGTCAAGAATGTTGAGCAGGATGTCATTGGGCAACTTGCTGATCCTATCATCTGGATTGACTTTCTGCATTTGGCATTGGAACAAGTCAAAGTTGCAATATCAGAGATGAAATTTGTCTACTGTCGCAAAGACGCAGCTTTGATTTGGTTATAAGATAACACCAATTTGTTAGCAAAAGATGCAATTTGAATGCCCTGGTAGATCTGCTGTTGACAATTTTATTATACTTTCCCACAGAAGGGCGCAAACCTGATCAAGGTTCCTACTTTTTACTATCCCTTGTTGTGAGAAATGGCAATTTTTGCGGGTAATGTTATTATTATAAGAAAAGGGATTTGGAGGACCAACTCACCAGCTTGTCGAGGGGGGGTCCGGCCTTGACCGATGGTTTGGCCATCAATTTGGCAGCCTCTCGCCGGCGACTGGTCCTCGCCATTGCCGCGTTGCTGGTCAATCTTCTTCTGAAAAGTGCGTCTCCTCCGAAGATTAGCTGCCACCAATGGAAACTCGGAGACTGAATTTGAAACAGGGCCTGTTCCTGATTGCTTCGATTGGGGAGCTGCTTATTCGAGGCCCCCGCCGGCGACAGCGCACGGCAGGCGGCGGCGCATTACTGACTCCCGATCCCCTTTTTCCTCTCCCGATAGAACCCTAGGTGGAGGAGGGGCGATTTTTTTTTTTTAGTTGAGGAGGGGTGATCCTGTACGATCGATCGCTCGCCTGAAGCACGCCAGAATGGGCCGGCCCAGCGGACACCAGGCCTTCAACGCTTTTTTTTCTTCTTTCGTTTATTTCTTTATTTTTCGTACACAGACATGCTTTTAGAAACATAACTACTCGGTTCATCTGCTGTAGTCTATGATGGTCTGACTAATCCAACAACATTGGAGGCTCAAGCTTGCTGTGAAGCGCATGCTTTGGCGCAAGGTCTGAACATATCACGCCTCATAGTAGCTTCTGATTGCATGGAGGTTATAACAAACATCAAGAAAGGAGCCTTGCCCCAATGTGCTCATGCTTTGAGAGATATTGAACTTAGTTCGTCAAGTTTTTCTTTCATAGATTTCAGTTTTGAATTTAGAGAAAAAAATTTGAGGCCCACTCGATAGCAAAAGGAGTTGTGTCTCTGTCGGTGGGTCGCCACCTGTGGCTAGGGGTTTTGTCGGACATTACTTGTATTCCTTTTGATTTGAACTTGGAATAAAACCCTAGTTACCCTAAAAAACTAACCACGTGGCATTACTAAAAAAACTAAGCACATGGCAGAAAAAATGATTGGTAGAATTCTTTTTTTGAGGGAAAGGCCTTCTGGCATTTTATTCAACTTGGGGAAGAGTTACATGAAAGAGTGCAACTGGTAATAGAAAGGAGGGCATCAATGCTAATTTGCGGCTAGGACTAAATAATCCCAAAAGTTGGTAACAGTCCATACTTCTTAAGGAGTTTGAAAATAATCAACAGTTGATTTGTGTTAACCAGTATTAATAAAAAGTCATAACCATCCTATTTTTTCCTAGATTAGACATTGATGTCTACTACACAACCTTCTTCTTATAGATGTTATTGGACCTGCAAGTGCACAGGTTTGTAGGACAGTAGCAAATTTTCTTTAAGTGGATGACCTAAGGTTTATCAATCCGTGGGAGGCGTAGGATGATGATGGTCTCTCTCAAACAACCCTGCAACCAAATAACAGAAAGTCTCTTGTGTCCCCAACACACCCAATACAATGGTAAATTGTATAGGTGCACTAGTTCGGCGAAGAGATGGTGATACAAGTGCAATATGGATTGTAGATATAGGTTTTTGTAATCTAAAAATATAAAAACAGCAAGGTAACTAATGATAAAAGTGAGCGTAAACGGTATTGCAATGGTAGGAAACAAGGCCTAAGGTTCATACTTTCACTAGTGCAAGTTCTCTCAACAATAATAACATACTTGGATCGTACAACTATCCCTCAACATGCTACAAAGAGTCACTCCAAAGCCACTAATAGCGGAGAACAAACGAAGAGATTATGGTAGGGTATGAAACCACCTCAAAGTTATCCTTTCTGTTCTATCTATTCAAGAGTTCATACTAGAATAACACCTTAAGACACAAATCAACCAAAACCCTAATGTCACCTAGATACTCCATTGTCACCTCAAGTATCCGTGGTCATGATTATACGATATGCATCACACAATTTCAGATTCATCTATTCAACCAACACAAAGTACTTCAAAGAGTGCCCCAAAGTTTCTACCGAAGAGTCAAGACGAAAACGTGTGCCAACCCCTATGCAAAGGTTCATGGGCGGAACCCGCAAGTTGATCACCAAAACATACATCAAGTTAATCACGTGATATCCCATTGTCACCACAGATAAGCATGGCAAGACATACATCAAGTGTTCTCAAATCCTTAAAGACTCAATCCGATAAGATAACTTCAAGAGGAAAACTCAATTCATCACAAGAGAGTAGAGGGGGAGAAACATCATAAGATCCAACTATAATAGCAAAGCTCGCGATACATCAAGATCGTGCCATAGAGAGAACACGAGAGAGAGAGAGAGAGAGAGAGAGAGAGAGATCAAACACATAGCTACAAGTACATACCCTCAGCCCCGAGGGTGAACTACTCCCTCCTCGTCATGGAGAGCGCCGGGATGATGAAGATGGCCACCGGTGAGGGATCCCCCCTCCGGCAGGGTGCCAGAACGGGCTCCTGAGAGGTTTTTGGTGGCTACAGAGGCTTGCGGCGGTGGAACTCCCGATCTATCTTCGTCTTCGATGGTTTTAGGGTATATGGGAATATATAGGCGAAAGAAGTCAGTCGGGGGAGGCTCGAGGGGCCCACGAGACAGGGAGGCACGCCCAGGGGGTGGGCGCGCCCTCCTATCTCCTGGCCTCCTCGAAGCTTTCCTGGCTTGTACTCCAAGTCTCCCGGATCATGTTCGTTCCAAAAATCATGCTCCAGAAGGTTTCATTCCGTTTGGACTCCGTTTGATATTCCTTTTCTTCGAACACTGAAATAGGCAAGAAAACAACAATATGGGTTGGGCCTCCGGTTAGTAGGTTAGTCCCAAAAGTATTATAGAAGTGTATAATAAAGCCCGTAATCATTCAAAACAGATAATAAAATAGCATGAATGCTTCATAAATTATAGATACGTTGGAGACGTATCAGCATCCCCAAGCTTAATTCCTGCTCGTCCTCGAGTAGGTAAATGATAAAATAAAAAATTTATGAAGTGTGAATGCTAGAAGGTGCACAAGTTTGATCAATGATAATTTCAATCAACTTTTCTAGCATGATTATATGTCATAACAGTAGTTCATCTCATAAAACTTCTCACGAACAAGTAACAAGCTATTCACATGTTAAAGCATAGACCATAAACTTTCTTGAAAACTAGCAAACTTTGTTCTCAGTCATCAAACAATTGCAATTCATCTTATTTTCAGGAAGGGTCTATGTCAGAGCTTTGATTTAGCAAACTCCACATACTCAACTATCATATAGTCTTCTACAATTGATAACACTCACGCAATACTAATGGTTATGGAGTTTTAATCGGACACTGAGAAAGATAGGGGCTTATAATGTTGCCTCCCAACGTATTCACCTTTGGGTGATGTCAACAATAATAGTTCATGCTAACTTACATCCAATTGGATATATATATATATCAGGATCTTCCAAACATGAGGTGCTTGCCAAAGGATAAAATGAAAAAGGGAAAGGTGAAGATCACCTTGACTCTTGCATAAAGTAAAAGACATAAAGTAAAAGATAGGCCCTTTGTAGAGGGAAGCAGAGGTTGTCATGCGCTTTTAGGGTTGGATGCACAAAATCATAATGCAAAAGAACGTCACTTTATATTGCCACTTGTATATGGACCTTTATTATGCAGTCCATCGCTTTTATTGCTTCCATAACAAGATTGTATAAAGCTTATTTTCTTCACACTAATAGATCATACATATTTAGAGAGCAATTTTTATTGCTTGCACCGATGACAACTTATTTGAAGGATCTTACTCAATCCATAGGTAGGTATGGTGGACTCTCATGGCCAAACTGGGTTTAAGGATATTTGGAGCACAAGTAGTATCTCTACTTGGTTCAAGGAATTTTGGCTAGCATGAGGGGGAAAGGCAAGCTCAACATGTTTGAATGATCCATGACAATATACTCTAACTGAGATGTGAGAAAACATAACCCATTACGTTGTCTTCCTTGTCCAACATCAACTATTTAGCATGTCATACTTAATGAGTTCTCACAATTATAAAAGATGTCTAGGATAGTATGTTTATATGTGAAATCTCTCTTCCTTCAATATTCTTTCATGAATTGTTCAAATGACCAATACAATGCTTGCTAACCTTCAATAAATTTACAACCTCTACTTATTAGATGTGAAGTCATTACTCCCCATGGGATAAGCAAATGAAACATATATAATTTCAAATTTATGACATTCAACTCATTCAACCATTTACTCATAGGATATAAGTGAAGCACACGAGTAAATGACAAACTACTCCAAAAAGATATAAGTGAAGATCAATGAGTAGCTAAATTATGTAACTATGTGAAGACCCTCTCTCATTTAAGAATTCAGATCTTGGTATTTTATTCAACAGCAAGAAAAGCAAGATAAAATGACATTGCAAGGATAGCAAAACTCATGTGAAGAAGCAAAAACTTAGGCTCAACTGATACTAACCGATAGTTGTTGAAGAAGAAAGGTGGGATGCCTAACGGGACATCCCCAAGCTTAGATGCTTGAGACTTCTTGAAATATTATCTTGGGGTGCCTTGGTCATCCCCAAGCTTGAACTTTTGTGTCTCCTTAATTCCTCTCATATCATGGTTTCTCTTTTTATCAAAAGCTTAATCCACACCAAACTCAACAAGAACTCGTGAGATAGGTTAGTATAAACCAATGCAAAACCTTATCATTTTGTACTGTAACAAATCACTAAAATTATTATTCAACATTGCATACTAAATGCCTCTGCATATTTAACACTCCTATCCTCAAATAGAATCATTAAACAAGCAAACATATGCAAACAATGCAACCATAACAGCAACCTGTCAAAACAGTATAGTCTGTAAAGAATGCAAGAGTATCAATACTTCCATAACTCCAAAAATTATGAGAAAAATACTACTCTGTAGAAGATTTATCAGATCTCATTATTAAAAAAGTTTCAACATTATACCATTCTCTGAATTTTCTAGGGAATTTTTGCAACAGCGGTAAACTTTCTGTTTTCAAACAGCAACATGTATACTAGCAAAATAAGCATGGTAGAGGCTATCCTTGACATTTTTATTGAAACTAAAGATGAAAAACATTATTATAAATGACAGCAAGCTAATACTAACAAAAGA